TACACGGGGCCCTTAACTCGAGTTAAGGTAACTCGAGTTACGTTAACTCGAGTTAAGCGTCTATACACGGGGCCCTTAACTCGAGTTAAGGTAACTCGAGTTACGTTAACTCGAGTTAGCTTAACCTCGCCATTCGATCGAGGTTAGGCTAACTCGAGTTACCTTAACTCGAGTTAAGGCCCGTGTAGACGCTTAACTCGAGTTAGCTTATCCTCCACAATAGGCGGCAGCACTAGTACGATGTACGTACACACGCGCGCCCGCACGCGTACTTGCACACGCACACACACACTCATGCACGCACGTGTACGTGCACACGCACGCACGCAGGCACGCACGTCTACGTGCACACGCATGCACGCACGTACGCACGCCTACGTGCACATGCACATGCACACGCACGCACGCACGCACGCACGAACGTGTACCTGCATACGCGCGCGCGCACGCACGTGTACTTGCACACCCACGCACACACTCATGCACGCACGTGTACATGCACACGCACGCACGCACGTACGTGTACGTGCACACGCATGCACGCACGCACGCACGTGTACGTGCATATGCACGCACGGACGCATGCACGCACGTGTACGTGCACACGCACGCACGCACGCACGTACGTGCACACGCATGCACGCACGTGTACGTGCACACGCACGCACGCACGCACGCACGTGTACCTGCACACGCACACATGCACGCACGCACGCACGCACGCACGAACGTGTACCTGCACACGCGCGCACGCACGCACGTGTACGTGCACATGCACGCACACACGAACGCACGTTTACATACACACGCACGCACGCATGCATAATAAATCGGTAATAATCGCTATCGGGTGTTGTCGTGTAGACGCTACATAACCGCTAACTCGAGTTAGCGCTTAACTCGAGTTAAGGTTCGTCGTGTATAGACGCTACATAACCGCTAACTCGAGTTAGCGCTTAACTCGAGTTAGCTTAACAGCCTTAACTCGAGTTAAGGTTCGTCGTGTAGACGTAGCTTATATGACATCTCTTGCCCCGCTAAAGGTTCCGCGCGTTCCCTTACTCTTTTCTTCCACGTATTTTCTTTCCTGCGTCTCATCCTGAATTCCCTCCCCATTACTGTACACTTGGTTTTCTCGTTATCCGGTCCTTCTACTCACTCTTACCTCAGTTTCCTCGTTTTTCTTCAATTATACCACATTGTAAGGGTAAGTTGGGCATTTAGCAGAGAGCTAGGACGTGGGCTGCCTTCCCGCTACCTCTCGTGTTTTTGTTGATATTTTATANGGGAGAATTTCCAGACCACCTCAGAAGTTGTCAGACTTTGTGAGATAGACAAAATGAGCGAAGGACAAGGGGAAGACAAATTCAGAGTTAAGACAATATAGTTATGTTTATTAAGACAAGCATTTCATGGTCAATGAACCTATGCAAATTGCATGTGATTTACAGTTTGGTTGAAGGTTAGTTCGTAGTGAATTGAAAAAAAAAGTGGTTATTTGGCATACGTGGTCACGTAACCCTAACCCTAACCCTAACACATAACCCTAACCCTAACCCTAACACTTGTGTGAATTTGGAACGGTTTTATTTTTTGTAAGGAAAGAGGATGTCATGTATTGCGTCCACGAGATGGCGTGACTAGTCTGAAATAAAACAAGTTGAGTGACCGCCAAAATGCCGGGCATGTTTTGTTCATGAACCTACACAGAAACACTTGAATAGATACACAGAAACACTTGGACAGAGGCCAAGACATAACAATATATACACATACATAAATATACTGGCCAATCAGAAGTACTGTATGGTCAAATAGCAGAAGTGGATACTCTGCCGTAAATATCCACTGCGTTTAAAAGTATATAGGAGGGAGGATTCATATATGGCATAGCTAATGACCCTATCCACCTGAAACAACAACTAGCCTACATTACCAATTCACAGTAAGTTTTGATTAGCGTTGGCTAAATTATTTGAAGTGTTTTTGTTTTTAAATAAAAAAGGAGCCATTATTCAGTGCAGAGGGTGTCTCATAAGTTATAGTTCCCTACATCACACACATCTGTTATAACTTATATTGCGATGATGTCGCATTGTTTCAGGATATTGGAATGCGCCGGCCGCCAACGTAGCACCCGTGGCGCCCCCGTTGCTGTTGTACACGTCGCGCGCCGCGCCGCCGCCCACCGTGCCATCACACCAGCAGGTGGCGCCTCCTCTGTCACAGGAGAGCACGGCGTACGGTGCGGACGGTGCGTCGCAGGAGCAGCTGCCCGCCTACGAGGAGGTTCACGCGCACTGGTTCCACAAGAAGACGATCGCCGGTAAACTGCAGTGGACGCCGTTCTCTCTCGTCGACTCGATGCGCCTCGAGGACGTGCATCAGATGCTGCTGCGCGGCGAGGCCGTCCCGGGCTTTGTCGCGACGATGGGAGGCCGCTACGACGTCAGCGTCGAAGAGCGCACGTGCAGCGCTGTCTACTGGCAGGAGACGGTGGCCGAGGTGTGCCGCTGCACGTGGTTCTACCGCGCCGAGGGCGAGACGATCTTTGTGCCATATGACGAGGCGTTCTCGGCGCGCCTCGAGGCCGAGTACCATGCTGGCGCGACGACGGGCACGTGGAATCGCCGCCTCGAGTTTCCGAGCGGCGACTCGGTCGTCATGCACAACCGCGACGTCATCGTTCACTTTGCTGCCGCCGCCGACGCGCAGCTTGCGGACGAGTGGGGCGCGGTGGATCGTGACCTCGGGGTCATGCGGCCGCGCGTCGTCAAGCGCGGCGTCGCTGACGTCGATGAGATCGTCATCGACGACGGCGAGGCGGCGCGCATCGACCATCTGGTCTTCGTCGTGCACGGCATCGGCTCGGTCTGCGACCTGCGCTTCCGCGACGTCATCGAGTGCACGGACGGCATGCGGCTGCACGCACGCTCGCTCGTCGAGACGCACTTTTGCGAGGCGGCGGCGGCGGGCGCGTGCGGACGCGTCGAGTACCTCCCCGTGCAGTGGCACACGTCGCTGCACGTCGGCCCCGCGGGCGTAGACCGGCTGCTGAAGGCGATCACGCTGCCGAGCATCAGCAAGCTGCGGCACTACACGAACGACACGATCCTCGACGCGCTCTTCTACACAAGTCCCAAGTACGGCCAGACGATCGCCGAGGCCGTCACGCACAAGCTGAACCGCATCTTCGCGCTCTTCCTCGCGCGCAACCCGAGCTTCGACCGCACGCGCGTCTCCGTCGCCGGACACAGCCTCGGATCGCTCATCGTATTCGACATCCTCGCGCACCAGGGCGAGACACCTGAGGCTCCGCCCCCGCAGGATGAGGAGGCAGCGGAGGAGGAGGAGGTGGGCGAGGGGGAGGTGGATTCGCTCGCGGCTGTGCTGCAGGGGATGGGGTTGGAGGAGTACGGCGCGATATTCGAGCGCGAGCAGATGGATCTCAACACGCTGATCATGTGCGACGCGTCAGACCTGAAGGACCTCGGTGTGCCGATGGGACCACGCAAGAAGCTGCTCATCTACATACAGGAGCACGCGGAGAGGAAGAGGAAGCCAGCGAAGAAACCCCTGCAGCAGCAGCAGCAGCAGGAGAAGCCAGACGCTGGACAGCAGGAGAAGCTGGAGTTTGGCGGTAGTTCATTGTCGACGGCGTCGGCAGCGTACACGATGGGGCAGGTGGCTGTGGCCTACCCGAAACTCGACTTTAACCTGTGCGCCTTCTTCGCGCTTGGATCGCCGATCGCTGTCTTTCTTACCGTTCGGGGCGTAAACGAGGTCAGTAAAAACTCCTGGTGACCGGGAAATACAGACACACGAGTAGTCAGTCACACATGTTTGTATGGTACATGCATGTTTGTACACATTTTAATTTGCCCTTTCCTCGCATACCGGTATTCATTACAAGTTTTCTATGTTTGTAGATTCTCTAGTTCAGTAGTTGTAAACTATAGCCGATTAGCTTTGCAACAGAACATTACAAAAACAATGTGTAGTAATGATGTGCGATTAGCCTACACATATTGCCTGTCTTCTTCCTTATTATAATTCTGGGTTAACTTATGCTACATTCTGGTATGCACCATCTACAGACAACGTAACTTGAGTAAGCTATCAACAGTTTCCAATAGAGACATGATTGTCTCTTTCATGTAGATTCTGGTATGCACCATGTACAGTCAACGTAACTTGAGCAAGTTATTAACAGTGTCCAATAGAGACATGGTTGTCTCTTTCAGGTAGATAGGTCAGTTATAGTTAACGGTAAGAGTGACGTGTGCGTGTGTGTGTTTGTTTGCGTAGGTGTGTGAGGACTACAGACTACCGACATGCCCGGGTTTCTTCAACATCTTTCATCCATTTGATCCGGTCGCGTATCGAATCGAACCGATGATCAACAAGTCTTTTGATTTGAAGCCAGTGCTCATTCCACATCACAAGGGAAGAAAACGAATGCATCTAGAGATCAAGGAGAACATGGCTAGAATAGGTAACCCTACTAATTAACTCATTATAGCAGTGAGTAGTGCATGGATTAGCATTCTTATTGTAACTATTTCCTACAGCGTTGACACGAGCGAGGCGGGCTGCCTCGCTGAAATTCACAGCCCCCACACAGAAATTTGTCCAAAACACTGCCTCGCTGACGAAAATCACTGTTGTTCCATAGAACAGTGGTTATAATGCACCAAAATAGCTTAGAATGCAAAAAACTCCAAATTGCACCATTTTTCAAAAAAAAATTTGCGGGGGTTCATGCCCCCGGACCCCCCTAGCTGGGCGAGTACATGCAGTGCTCGCTTTGCTGAGACCTCGAAACGTGCAAACATGACAAAAAAAATTTACCACCTCACAGACCTTTTTGGCCATGGGAAACACTGCCCTACAATATTGAAGCTGTACGAATTTACAGTTTTAAACCAGGTACAGTGAAACTTCGATTGTATACGCCCCGATTTAACGCAAAATTGGATATAACGCGATGAGTCATTGGACCTTTTTTTGCTCTTTTTGAAACTGAAAAGTTGTTTGGTGAGTTAAGCCGGCCTTAGGTTGAAGCAACGATCGCCTATAGATCGCGCAACTAAATGAGTTTACATGAGACTTGTTGCTGTGGCGGGTCAGTTTATACGCTGATTTTCTTGAACCCTGATTTAGCGCGATCCTGCTTTTTTGCATTGACATTTTATGGACCCCAACGATCGCGTTATAACGGGGCCACACTGTACCTCCCTTCTCGTATTCTTGCCTTTCTCCTTCTGCTCTATATTTCCTGTCTTCCTTGTTCCTGCCCTCAGTGTTTGTGCACCAAATCATTTCACTTGCTCTTTACTGCCACTTAGGGGTGAGTCACGTAGTGGTTGGTTCCATGCCGTTGGCTGTGGAAACCTGCAGCTGTAATTACGTTCTTCCATGGTTTGTAACAGTAGTACATGATTTTGTAACCATATTTACATGGTTTGCACTGGAGTTATAAACACATGGATTGCATATATCCATTACGAGGCATGTGTATCCGTAGTTACAACTCACCAGGCATGCGTTTCCATGACGACAGGTTCCGACATCAAGCAGCAGCTGATGGAGACATTTAGGAGCACCTGGCACACGGTGGCTGAGTTCACACGCTCGCACACCCTCGGGCAAGAACAGATGGACGCTGTCCAGAAGGCTGTGATGGACAGTGCGATAGAGGACATGAGCAAAGAACAGGTGTGTATATATGTGTGTGTGTGTGTGTGTGTGTGTGTGTGTGTGTGTGTGTGTGTGTGTGTGTGTGTGTGCGTGTGCGTGTACGTGCGTGTGTGTGCATCCACTTGCATGTGTGCGAGCGCGTGCGTGTTTGTGTGTGTGCGTGCGTGCATAGGTGTGTGGGTGTGTGTGTGAGTGTGCATGTGTGTGTGTCACAGTGTGCGTGCGCGCCAATGCTGTTTGCTTGTGTATGACTGAAAGAGAACTAGTGTCATGACTTGGGGTGTTCTGAAAGATCACTGCTCAAAGTAAACACTAAGCAGAGGTAATGGATCACTGGTGATCTTGGCTATTGTTAGTGGTGAGGTGTAGTGTTTGCTAGAAATGTGTTTTAGACTGTAGTTGCATTATTGAAAATGTATAATATTCGCAATATTAACGTTTGGTAATAATTAGTTCTATCCATTTTGATAATGATTTTTAAGAATGATGGTGATTATGCGTTATTCTCCCTCTGCAGGGGGTCATAGAGTTAGGCAAACAAACCTTGTGGGAAAGTTTCCCCTATGTCCTAACATTAGTGTTGTGATAACAATGTTTTTATTTAATTCCACACATTAGGAATGATAATGTGATGGAGTTAACACTATGTAAGAAACGTTTCAGACTTACTACTAACAGTCATAGTTTCGGGTTATAATTCAGGGATATGGCCGGGGGGAGATGGTAGAAACGAGATATCATCATCGTTAGGATAATAGGTATTTGCGATACAGAGTTAACAACTAATAACGAGCCCATCTCGCGTTGTCGCGACCAAACCACCAAACACTCGCTAACTCACGTGTCTTTCATCC